GTTTGAAATTTGATATTGATGTTGTGGGTTGGAAATTTGTTTTGATATATACTTTTTCGAATTGAACAGGACATGACAATTGCATTGGATAAAGGCAAAATGGCAATGTACCATCCAAGTAACAAAATGGCACTTCACCTTTTCAATAAATTTCCACCTCGACCTGACTATATATCCATTTCTATCAACAAAAACTGGATAGAAAAAAACTTTCACCATCTCTAAACATCTTGGGTAGGTTGAACAGGTAACTTAGAAACTGCTAGTAAGCTAATTCCATCTATATTTTACTAGTTGATTGTTAATTATCCTTCTATATAATGTTGTATTAATATTCGTCTCCCTGCATTTAAAAAAACTTCTCAACTCTTTCCTCTGCTGATTTTAGCCCCCGTTTGGTGTACATTAAAATCAGATTAAAATTTCAAGTCAAAGTCGACAATTAATTTTAACCATAAATTTCATAGAATTCGCAACTTTTCAATTACACATTTTATTAACTTTTATCAAAATTTAATTAATAACTAATTATAATCTTCACCAATTAGGTCTTGATTTGATATTGGAGCTAAACAAAAGATTTGGGTTCAAGTTTTCTCTCCAATGATTTATGAAGAACTATGTCACATGAGTGGAACAGATGTTATTGGACAAATAGTAAGCCCAATTAACCGATTTGGTTAGAACTGCGGGTTCTTTAAGACACTCCATAAGTTCACGTTAATGGGGCTTGATCTTAGACCTCTCAGTAACCACAGATGGGAAATTACCACTAGCCTAACCCATAACATTGTTTAACTTTTGTGACACATTTCAAGTATGAGAAATGATATTTAAAAAATCGATGTTTAGTTTATATTAAGTATGAGTAACATGATGTATCATTTAATTGATAAATAAGTTCATGATGTGTCTCATGAATTAAATGATTGGCAAATAAATTGATGTAACATGTTGCTAGAACATCATTTCTCTTCTAGTATTATTAATCGACCTTGCAAGTCGTGCAGAAGGGTGTTTACACCGTTCTTGACAGATCAGACACGTGAAGAGGCGGGAGCCATGGCTTTTTGCATTTTTTATTCATGTGGGGTCGGCTCGGGACCCACACACATGTGAATATCTGTCATGTAGGTTGTAAATCATTTTCTAGTAAAGGAGCTTTATTCATTATTAATCAAAACTTAAACAAATATAATATCATTTTCTATTCAATGTATTGATTTATAATATATGACTTCAATATATGGGAAAAAAAAATTGGTTCATGTAAAACTTTTATTTTATTTAAACAATATTAATTAATGATTCTAAAAATTATTTATATATAAACATTGACCCTTCGATTGAATCGGTAATCCATTAACTTCGCCAGGTTAATGTCTAGTTTTGATAACTAGGAATTCTAATGTTACAAGATTTTAATTAATTGGAATCAAATTAATGTCAATATTGTCCATTTCTAAAGTGGTCAGTGCTGCCTGGCCCAGCAAAGAGAAAAGGGAAAGCCCTCTAAAACCTACATAATGAATTTTATTTTTATTTTTTTCATTTTTTAAATTTATTTATTATGATTTATTTTTTTTGTTAAAATTTCTTGCAAGCTGCAATTTAAACTTTAAAGAATCAGAATTTTAAATAGATCGACTTCAGCATAATCTAGATAGAACATATTTAGGTCCTATTTGGAAGGGATTTTGAGAATTAATTTTTTAACCGTTAGATGAAAAATAGGATCCACCTGTAAGAGAAAAAATCAAAAATTACGGTTGGAATAGTAAAATAACAGTCAAAAAATTAAAATTTTGAGGTAAAAAATCCCTCCCAAACAGGCTCAAAGAATTACTAAATAGTTTTATCTAGACTATATTTACGCTATGATGTCAACCAGCCAGCTTGCGATCTGGAACTAGAGATTCGGGCTTGGCTCGAGTAAAATTAAGTATAACATTTTTTGGCACGAGCCGAGCAAAAGCTTGACCAAAAAATCAAGGCTCGACCCGAGCTTTCAACTCGAACCTTACCAAGTTGAGCCGACTCCGATTTTTATTTTTCCACATACGGCAGCTCGCATGATGCTTTTGAAAAGGCAGCTCACTCATCCAATTCTTTTTTTTTTTTTTTTTTTTTTCCAAATTTACTAGCCGTCCGGACGAGCCACTCTTGCCATAATTTGATCAATGATTAAGATTTAGACAATATCCTTGGCAATATTTACAATCTCTTACAAGGGTTAGTACGTAGAAAGGGAATTGAATCAAATTTACTCTAATTATGATAACACTACACGAAAATATCAATTTTATCATTGCTACATCGGTTGGTAAAATTTATTATTGGACTTTATCTGTTGGTGTTTCCAAGAGTCATAAAAATTCTTTCGACGAGTTCACTTTTCGTTTTCACAATGTCATCAGTAAATGGTGACACATTTGCCATATTTTTCAAATTTTGTATGTCTGACTAATAAATCCAACTTAGGCTATTTTATTTACATCCTTTAAAAAAAAAATCAATTTAGTAAAATAGGGTAAAATTATTTGTATATGACAAAAATAGTGATCTTAACACTTTTGCAATACTTAAAAAATCTAAAATAATGTGCATTACTCGTTCACTTCGACTACTAGTACTAAAGTCTAAATGGCTCTTAATTTGTTCCGTTGCTTTTTTTGCATAAGTTAGGACCATGTTTTACTTATTTATACTTGATATGAGGGATATTTTCTTTTAGTTTTCACAAGCATTTTTGGCTTTTAAGGTTATTAATGTCATATGTTCATGAACTTTTATAGGTGATTTTTGGATAGGTCGGATGTGTCAAGCCTCACTGTAGACTGTGCTAACTCGATATGGTTCGTTTTATATTTGTAACCATGTCATCCTTTCTCGAGCAATCAAATTTCAGAATGCACAAATATTAACACAATTTCTCTAGAAATTCCAGCCTAACATTTTTCATCTTTACTTTGGGTTGCCCTAGTATTACCAAGATGAAAAAAATATATATATACTTTGGGTTGCCCTAGCATTATTAACTGTTATATGTAATTTTTGGATATGACGAATGTGTCAAGCCTCACAATAGATTGTGCTGACTTGATGTGGTTCATTTTATAGTTGTAACCATGCTATTCTTTCTCGAGCAATAGAATTTCAGACTGTACAAATATTAACAAAATTTCTCTAAAAATTCCATCCTAATATTTTTCATTTTTATCTTGGGTTGCCCTAATATTGCCAAGATGAAAAAAATACTTATTGTCTAACTCGTGAAAGAGATTACAATTTATGTAGCTCATTTGACCTCTCTAAATCAAGACATGAGTCGAGTGATCAATACAAATCAGAATAACTCAAACACGGATTAGACAAATTAGAAACAAGAATAAAAACAATTTTCCCATGATTTTTGGCAGACATACTTGAGACACCCTTATTTGATAGCCCTTTCAAGAACGGCTATTTCACATAAGCCTTCAAGATCAAACATTCAAGATGTTGTGCAAACATGAACAACATTTGGTATATTGAACATGATATTTAAATAAAATACATGTAGTTTTTTTTAACAATTTACTTTTTAATTTTTTAATTTTTTTATAATGGTTCAACATGGTATCAAAACAAGCAGAGATACTAAGTAGAAGTCTTGTCATCATTCATTTATTACAAAAGTATGCACAAGCAAGGTTTTAGGGAGAAAATATATCCGATCACACATTAAGGAATGTATAGAAAATAATATTTAAATAGTACTTTTTAATTCAAGATGCCACGTATGATTTATGCTTATAAACTATTTTATAAATGCTCGATTCACTTTTAATTCACATATTTTGAGACTTCACTCAATTTTATCTATTTTATAATTTAGCATGTGATTAGAAATGAGTGGTAGTTAAGGTAATAGTACTTGTGCATTTCTTAAAATATATGATTAATGGTCTGTTTATAAAGACAAACCAGATTTCATTTTGTTTACAATTTCGGAACACTAAATAGACCATACCAAAAGAAAACAAATCTACGAAAATAATTGCAAATACACAAAATATCGGACAATGCATGGTTGGCATATAGACATGGGCGGACACAAGGGGGTCACTTGACCCCCCAACTTTTGAGATCCTCTTTTTCTATATTAAGATAAAGTCGTGTTTGGTATTGATTGAAATTTAAATTTTAATCTAAATCAAAATTAATAATTAATTTTAATAACATATTTCCTGCATTTTTTAACTTCTAAAATTTTATCAAAATTTACTAAAAGTTGGACTTTAATCCCCAGCAAATAGAGACAAAATCACAATAAAGTTGAATTTTCTCTCTTTTTATTGTTCTATCGTATTCTCTCTCTCAAGCATTTTACCAATATTGTAACTCTTCTATTTTTTAAAAAAATTGTTTATAATTTCTCTACAATTATCACATCTACTACAAATTTTCACTTTTCAATCAAGTTTTCAACTAATTAGAACCTAAATTTGCATTTACTTCTATCCTATTTGTGTATGTAACACGTGTCTAAACTGATTATATAAAATTTAACATATATATGACGAATTATGTTTATTTAACTGATTATTAGTATTGAATATTAATTATTTGTTTTTTCTTTTGATTACTTGAATTGAATTTTTTATCAAATACACAATTTTTTAAAACATAAATATGCATTTTCTTGTGATGAACAAAATATTAAAAAAATTATTGTTCAAAATCAAATAGATGAAAATGATTAGCAATAATGAAGAAATATTATTAAAATGTAAATCTACATTTTTTCGGGTCAAATATGAATCATTTAAAAATAAAAAACAAAGTATTCGATTTGTACAAAATTTGATTGTGTCTTTCAACTCAATTTCTCTGCATCCGCCCCTGCATATAGAACAAAGGTTTATATCTTGAACTGAAGCTCTCATATTTATTTTTGAAATACATCAGAATTGATCTCCGATGCTTCAAAATACATGAGAGATAGAACTAAACGAGACTGGATAGAATTTGCTTGTCACTCAAGCAAGGTAATACATGGGATCGGGGATTTTGAATGTTCGATTGCCATTATTGTCCCCAAGAATATCACTCCACTGGTCTCCAGAATTTCCAAGAATTTTTTATCCTGCATTTACTAGCTTTGTTCTTGTTTTTGACTTATACGCCAATGTTGTGAGGCCCTTATCAGCTCTTCCCTGCACCCAAATTAATACTAGATTAAGATTTTCTAATAGTTTTAAAAATCAACTATAATACTAAAAAATGCAGACAGAAAAATATAAAAAAATAATCGCGAGTTTACCTGTGAATGAGCTTTTCTCAAGTATGGTAACCAACTGCCTTCAGATTTGCTATCCTGGCCTCTCTTTATTCTTCTTCAACTCCCGTTAAGAAGACGATTTTGAACTCGAGTCTCAGCAATGATTTATATAGACGAAGCGCGCCAGGAACTACCTGTAATTTTCCCTTTGCAATCCTCTCGTTAAACGATGTTTTGTTGTATGGTAATGCCCTGAAATCAAAAATATATGTTAGTGTTAGTGGAAAATCCAAACATGCACTGGGGGATTCCTGATGGTCTTACAGACAGGAAAGGCGTTTTTTCAACCTTTTTTTAGAGTGAAATTACTTTTAGTTGAAATCATATAGGAGATTGGTCTTTCTCAATGTGGTGTATAACCCATGTGGTGGTATGATGGAGAAAAGAACAGCACATACTTTCCAAGACATGTCCATCTTGTTTAGACTATTAGATTTAGGGCTTAATCCCTAACAAAAGTAAATAATCCAAATCCTTGACTCGTTCACGTAGTTAAAGTATTTGTTTTAGTCCTTACCTAACCAACACGTCGGATCGAGCATAGTATGGAATATTAATAAGTACAGTTTCATCAACGTCAAAGATCCAAATATCCTTGCCATCGCCAGCAAGTTTAAGGCTCTTGGCATATTTAATCGCGGCATCTGACACCAATTCACATTCATGTCTATATTGCTTGCCTAGCATATAGTGACCAACAATATCTTCACAAGACATGAACACAGTGTCCCAATTTTGAAGATTGTTGGTTTCAACTACCAAACACCAGCTGAGGCAGTCAAGACCCTCAAGCCGGTGGCCGGCGGCACCAGATCGTGGCCGGAGAATATAGATTTGACCCTCTTGGAGAATATGGCAATCTGCATTGCAAGTTGTTACAATGGTAGCCGGAAAGAAAAGTACTGCCAACCTCATGTTTGCAGCTTATGTGAGCGATGTCTAGGCATGAATTGGTCGTCTATATAAAGTTCTAACCACAAAATTGGCCATTCTTTTGCACGCGATACCCTTTTTGTAGTAAAACAAAAACGCAATCTCCATGAATTATTTATTGCTACTTCATTCAATTTATTATTATGAATATTGAGAATTTTAAAATAATTAAATTCTTAGCCACTGCAAGTCGATAATTACTATGATAATTTTGTATTTCTAAGGTTGCATCAATCATTATTTTATGTTATTGAATTTATGGTACTATTTGTTTCTTTTCTAATTTGTTCTGGGAGGTTGTTATTTTTTACACGTATTTGCTATATATTTGATGGATTTTACCACATTAACTTTTTTTTTTTTTTTTGATAATATTATCCAATTTTTTGGCAATATTAAGTTGGATTGAACTTTTATGGCAATATTTTCTTAAGCCTCGATGGGCATGGGGTGGCCCCTCCTCTAATCCGTTCACGTGCAGACGAGATTTAGCCCCTTCTTGGTGGAGTCAAAAAATAGATTTGGAGTATATTTTCATAAAATTAGATAGATAAAATATACGATTGAACAATTGATAAAAGTTGTGAATCAGTCAAAATGTATAATTAAAATTAATTATTGATTTTGACTAATTTTTTTATCAACTTTTTAAGCCGTACCAAATAAGGGCTTAATTTCATTAAAAATACAACACATGTACACTTTTTATAACTAGATGAGACCGAAACTTGAATTCGAGATTTTTACGTACTCTAATTTACATCGAACTACCTTATGTAATAATTATGGATAAAACATATTAATTTATATATATTATTTTCAACAGTAATTATAACTTTTATTAAATTTTACTAAAAATCTAATTTCAGTAAAAATAAATTATATTTATTATGTATACATGTGTAACAAATAGTCATTTATTATTGTACTATGCTTAGTTGATTTGACTCGGGAAAAGAACAAATATTAGCTGTTCCCATCTGCAAAAATCGTACACTACAATCAGAACACTCCAACTTTTAGGACCACCCTATTTTAAATGTGAAAGTTTATTTGTGGTAGATATTTTTGTATGATCTAATGGTATCAATAATTATCTATGATGACTAATAAGGTAAAAATTACTAAATAAGTACCCTACGTAGAACATTCCATACTAGGCCGTCTACCACTACTAGGCCCTTTATGTCCACACTTGACTGTCGATTACTATGAGGTCCTCTACAGTCTACATCCATGTTTAGTCGTCAACCACTATTGGGTCCTCTAACTCCACACTGGACCTTTGATCATTATGAGGCGCTCTGCAACCATGTTTTACCATCTACCATGATGAGACTCTCTACATTTATGCTAGACTGGCTACCACCACAAGGTGAACACCACACTTGACAATAAAAGTATCATTGAATTGGATAAGAACTGTTCCATGGTTAAAATCAACTTTTTGGTCAACTAACTATCAAATGAATGGAAACTATCCATTCGGATCTCAGATGCATATTTTTGAAATATTTGAAAATTGTGAATGGTACAAAATGAAGATTATGGTAAAGTTTGTAAAAAGTGATAGGTTAGGGACCGCTGTTGCAATTTTTCCTAATATATATGTGGTTCTTTTCTAACAATTTAATTTTTTAATCCAAGTGATTCAATAAGATGTGGTGAATCAAAGTGAACAACAAATGAATATAATTAGATATACAATATAATTTTCTTCTTAGCCCATGTTTATTAACAATTTATAAACCCTTAAATTTCATTTTATTTACACATTCTAAGGAACTCAAAGATACTATCTACTTATTCACTACTTCTCAAACACATATGTTAAAAAAGTGGATAGTGAGAGTTGTGAGCATGATTTGCTACCTACATTCTCAACAACCAACTCTCCACATATTATTCGTCCACGGATAATCATGAATGTGACTGAAATTGACATTTTCTTTAAGTAATGTTTGGCCAAACTTAAAATTTTTGCTTTTAGGTGAAATTTTTACGATTAAAAATTTAAATTAGAATAAATAACATCGTTGCAACTTGTGTTTCTTTGGATGAAAAGCTCGATTACAATGCATTAATCTTTTCTTGGCCCTTTCCCGTGGATCTTTCAAACCTCATAGAAGAGAAGAGGCACTCGACAGTTGGTGAATTTACTAACAACATGTTTGGTTTCTTCAAAAAATGTATTTTTTTTACTTAAAAGAAATTTAAAAAAAAAAGAGAGATTTTTATCCGAACATGTTGAAAGAAACATAAATTTGCTTAAAAGCAACATTTTTTTTTTTTTTTTTTATATAGTGGTGTCAACTAGTCAAGTCAAAACTCGAGGCTTGGACTTGGCTCAAGTAAAATGGTCTGAGCTTTTTTGTGAGCTCGAGCCGAGCTGGGCAGACTCAAATTTTTGTTTTAATAGATAAAGGCAGCACTCGACTACCTAAAATAGGCTACAGGCAGCAAGCTACTGTCTCAAACAAGGCAACAGCACGCTGCCTTATAAAACGAAGTGTGTTGCTACCTTTAATTTGTTTGATTTAAAATTAGGCTCATGAGCTCGAGTCGACGAGAAGATGGGGCTCGGCCCTATCCTCAAGTCGGGCCGACTCGGGCTTTTTTCGAGCCAGAGTGGTCAATTGCTATCCCTAACTTTTTTCAAGACTTAGCCATACATGTTAAAGTAGACGACAAAGTCTCCATTTGAGCCACACTCTAAAAAAATTCAGGCCAGTTTGATTTGTAGTTCATTTTTCATTTTTTATTTTGAAGGTATGTTTTAAGATTGTTAAAAATGCATTTAATTTGTTAAAAATTCTTTCTCAAAATAGAAAACTGGATAACACTCATGATTTGGAATTTTGAGGAATTGTTCTATGATATTTTCTTACGTGAAATTGATTATTCATTAAAACAAAATAATTTTATGTTAATATATTATCAAGTAAGGTATACATTTCAAAGTTGGTGATCAGTTTTACAATATTTTTTTCCCACTAAAAGTTAAATAAAAATAAATAATACATTGTGAGAGAGAGAGAGAGAGAGAGTTTTTTTGTAAATAATTATTAAAATTTTTAAACTATTTTCATTTTTTTCCTTTTTATAATTTTTTATTGTTGAATTTTAGTTTTTATATTTTTCAAAATTTATATATTTTTTGTCAAAATTTATCAAAAATTTGTAATTTAATTTTATATATTATAGATTTTTATTTTTTGAATTTTATTTGAATAAAATTTTATTTAAAAATTTATTTCTCGTGTTTTTAGTGTTTTATGAGAAAACTCGAAAAATACTCAAAACGTCAAAAATGCAATTTGAGTTTTATGTTACAAATTTAAAATTGTTTTCGAAAATGTATTTTTAAAAATACCAAATCAAACAAGTTTTTGGTGTTTTTGTAAAATTGACATATGAAAACAACAAATTAGATGCACCGTCATTTTTTTTTGAACTCGTGTTCAATGACACATTCTTTCAATAAAATAATTTTACACAAAAACTTAAAATCTTTTCTTGTTCGATAACCATACATTTTCTACATATCACTATTACTAAATTTATTATTCCAAAAAAGGGGGACTCAAACAATTATATCCTTGAAGCACGCTAGGGATAAGTAGTTAGTGTATTACACATTTGTTTGGAGTTCATTTTCATTTCATTTGTAAAAAAAATTTTACAGTTGCACAACGAGCAACTTTTTCTTTAGGACCAGCATGGCTCACAGTGCGGGGGCTGTAAGAGTCGGACTGTACAACAAGAAAATTCATTTTCTTTATTCATTATTTCTGACACCAACTTGACATAAGTCTATCAAGGGTTATTCTTTTTCTTTTAAATTTACAGATGAAAAAATTGAAAGGAGAAATCATTTGACTTTCCCCACAGACTCCAGCTCGCAACCTCTCCTCTAACACAGAGATACAACACCGACTTGGGAAGAAAGTTTCAGATTACCTTCAATTATGGATTCTACAGGGCCTACAGCAATCGATTATGTCTCCAAAATTGCTTCATAATCTAGAAGTCTAGAATAATCCAAACTGGTAAGAATTATTTGCATCCACTGGCATCGATTTGTTAGAATTGTGTAGAGAAATCTTTCGTCAACAAAAGCTCACCATATACATGCATGTGTACAACATCTCCATTTTGAGTATAAGTAGATGAAAGAAGTGAAAAACAAAATATATGTGTATGCTAGAAAGTGTGAAGATAGTGGGCAGAGAGAGAAAGAGATTAGTGAGAGAAAATAGGAAGAGAGCGGGAGGAATAATTAGAAAGAAAGAAACAGAGAGGCAAACGGGCAGTGCATTATTGTGAAAGGATTTACAGGAACGATATAATTAAAGATTGAGGCGCTTGCTTAGAGTGAAATTATTTTAGTAAGGTGTGTTTGTCAAAAATTAATTTTACTAGTTCTTTGTATAGTAAAAATAAATATTTGTGTGTTTCAAATTCAACAATTTGGTTGTTTTAGAATTCAAAAATTTGGGAATTTTGGGTAAATAGATAATATATTTGGTTGTTGTTTTAATGTTAATTTTTTAAATTATCAATGGATCGCATAATGCACTGTTGAATTTTGCATGTACGCTACTTTCCTTGAGGGGCCTAATTTACAGACTTCAACTTAGACCTTGGCAATCACAGGACCGGCCCTGCATCTAAAGTTCCATGAGAAAACGTGATTCTATAATATTTTTCTATTAATTTAATTAAAGAAAAACAAGACGTGTCTAACTACTCCTTGGAAAAAAAGAATTTAAGCCTAAGTGAAATTTTAATCAAATTCGTGCAATTTTAAAGGTAAATCCTATTTGAGGCACTTGGTTCACTTGTCAAGGTTTATTGAGCCTAGGCTAGTCTTGGAAGCAACTCCTATTCAAGATAGTTGGCTTTCTAACCTAGGTAAAATTTTAAACAAATCCGCTCTGTTATTGAGGCAAATCTTATTCGAGGCACTTCATTCACTTGTTGAGATGATGCAATCGACTGAGAGTATACGAGTTTTGGGGACAACTAGGACTTGTCTAAAAATTTGCCTAGGCTCAATCTAAAGCAAGTCCTAGGTGAGGTACTCGACTCCACTGCCTAGATGAAACATTTTAAACAAATTCGTGTAAGTATAGAGGCAAGTCATTTCTCATAGGCACTCGACTCACTTGTCAAGCTGAATCGTTGATTAAGCCTAGACGGATTTTTCAGATGAGTATTAGTTGAAGTACTTGGCTCTTCCACCTATGACGCTTTTCTCGTAAATTACTCGTGAACCCTAAGAGGTGGTTGACTCTTTATGGAGACAGATCTTGTTAAATACTTTTTTTTTATCAGTAAATGTAAAATTTATTGATCAAAATTCATATACAAGTACACCGGACATACACGAGTAAAACAAAGCAAATGATTCATACAATCACTCCAGGCAAACCTAGGTAAACAAAAAGCAAAGAAGTACAACAAAAATCAATAAGCCAACACTAAGTACTCAAAATGAATCAGGACTACGGATACAAAGAAAACATTACTTTCTATACGTGTCTTAATTCGTCTCACAATACAATTCACGTGTGGTCTAAAATCTTTAGAAAAAAATTCTATTCGGAAATAACCAAATGTAGTAAACGGTACTTGCAAGTGCAATCCTTTTGGCCTTGTTTAGCCACGATGTCCCACGAACCTCCTTCTTTATCCACTTCAACACACTAGCAAGTGTCGACATAGATCTTCTAATGCCAAGCCACTGTCTGATCCTCCCCCATAAGGATGATGTGAACGAACATTCAAAGAACAAGTGTTGGCCTGTTTCCTCTGTTTGTCCACACAGAACACAATTCCAGTCAATCTCTAAGTACGACAATTTGTCTTTGGTTAGAAGTTTAAATTGAACACCTAACCAAAGCAAAAATGAGTGCTCCAGTGTTATGCAAGAACTCCAAACATCAGCTACCCAAATCTTCTCAGTACCTCTCTGCCGAAAGTAATCATAGGCCTTTCTAGTGCAAAATTTATCCCCTGTAGACCAGGCCGTAAGTCTGTCCATAGTTTTCTAACGAAATCAACATCAGTTCGTCCCTAGTATCTGCCTGAACAGCCGCAACATGTGTAGGTTGAGAAGTCAACCCTGAAGAAGTGCTCGACTCTCCTGCCAAGAAGTCTTTTGATAACTTGTGCGGATTGATGAGGCAAGTCTTGAAAAGGTGCTTGAGTCTCCTGCCGAGGAGGTTCTTCTTGTAAATAGCTCATACGAGTTGAGGGAAATGACCCGCGTGGGTTGAGAAGGAAATCAAACAGGTTCTAGAAACTTAATGAACTCAAGACATGAAAGTATTAGTCTTTTTTAATACCTATAACGAGTGGCTTACTTTATATTAATTAAACTGAAACAAAATCCATATAAAATGCCAGATGACTCTTTAGAGTACAAATGTGCCTTCTTGAATTAGAGAATCATTTTTGCATTGAACCATTTCATTTAAGAACTTAAGTTTTCAGAAAGATGCTATATTTATTCTTTACATTTTATCTTCAACATATCTTCTCATATGTACTGTGAAATCCCCCTTTTTTTTAATTTTTTTTTATGAAAATCTAATACTGCATGAGACTTAAATTTATGGTTTTTACTTAGTCTAATATTTTGCGTTGAAATACATATCTAAAACGTTTTTTTTTTTTTTTGAAGAAATGAGAAACTTGAGTATATTTTGACAGTGTTTATAAGCAATTTAAATTATAAATAGATAAAAATAAGTAGTGATTAGAGGATGTACTTGTGCGTTTCTTAAAGTATATGAATAAAAAGTTTTTTGAGTGTTTATAAACGGTTTATAAATATGAGCTAAACATGTTTTTATTTGATTTTATTTTATTAACAATTTCGAAACTCTGAATAGAACATACCAAAAGAAAATAAATCTATGAAAATAATTGCAAATACACAAAATAAAAGATAATGAATGGTTGGTATACCGAAAGACAAGGCTTATATCTTGATCTGAACCTCTCATAATTTATTCTTGAAACACATTAAAATTTATTCCCAATACTTCAAAAGACGAGAGAGAACTAAACGAGACTAGACAAAATTTGCTTGTCGCTCAACCAATGTAATACATGGGATCTGGGATTTTGAAAGTCCGATTGCCAATATTGTCGCCAAGCAAATCACTCCATTGGTCTCCAGAATTTCCAAGAATTCTGTATCCTGCATTTACTAGCTCTGTTCTCCTTTTTGATTTATACGCCAATGCTGTGAGGCCCTTATCAGCATCTCCCCTGCACCCGAATTAATACTAGATTACGATTTCTGATACTTTTAAAAATCGCCTGTATTACTAAAACAATGCAGACAGATAATAGAAAATAGGATTGCAAGTTTACTTGAGAATGAGCTTCTCCCAAGTATGGTAACCAACTGCCTTCAGATTTGCTGTTCTGACCTCTCTGAATTGTTCTTTAGTACCTGATAAGAACACAATTTTGAAACCGAGACTCAACAACGTTTCATATAGGCGAAGCGCTCCTGGAACTGCCGGTGCTTTTCCATCTGCAACCCATTCATTAAACTTTGTGTCGTTGTATGGTAATGCCCTGAAATCAAATATATTTAACGTTAGATTTGATAGCAAATTCAAACAAATATTGGGGTAATCCTGATTGTCTAACAGATTGGAACAACGTTTTTCAACCTTTCTTAGAGTTGGATTAATATTAGTCGAAATCAAACGGGAGGTTGGTCTTTCTCAATGTAATATATAAATACAACTCGTGTGATGCTACGGTAGAGGAAGAAGTGCATATACCTGCCAAGAAATGTCCTTCTCGTTTAAACTATTTGACATGATTCTTTCCATTTTAGTGATATATTGTGCATAGGGCTTAATCCCTAAATAAAGTAAATAATCAAAGTCATTGACTCATTTGTGTGGTTAAAAGTATTTATCGTAATGCATACCCAAAGAGCACATCAGATTGAGCATAGTATGGCATATTAGAAAGTGTGGTCTCGTCAATGTCGAAGATCCAAATATCTTTGCCGTCGCCAGAAAGGTTAAGGCCCTTGGCATACTTAATCGCGGCGTCTGCCACCAATTCACAATCATGTCGGTATTGCTTGCCTAACATGTAATGACCTATATAATTTTCACAAGACATGGGCACAGTTCCCCAACTTAGAAGGTTGTTGGTTTCGACCGT